ATGTTCAAAGTGACAAGGGATTTAAAATCACAGAACACCAAGAAATAGCAGATATTGTTCCAGAATGCCAAGGGCAAGAATCACTCACATACAGCCTTAGAAAAGAAAATACAGATGCTACAGAACAGAACTTGAGGAAATGAGAAGGGAAAAAAAAAACCCAAAACAAAACATAACTGGGGATCTTCAAGATCTTTCCTAAGCCCAAGCTGAGCTCTAGACCTCAGTTGGCCTAGTGCTGATGAGCAAATGGAGGGCAAGGGACAGTGCGGAGCGGGGGCACCAAGGAAGAAGAACATGGCTGAGAACCATAAAGAGCCTGGGGAAAGCATGGAGAGGAAAAGCTGATGTCTCCAGAGCAAGACACTCTTACTAATCATGCAGCACCTCTGACCTCACCATCACAAACAACACAAGGCTCCATGATCTATCTGCATTCCCGGCTTCCCTTTCCAGAGGAAATATGTGCTAAGGTCAAGGCCTCTGGGACACCCTGAAAGGGGGAGGACTTCCAGAGGTATATTCATTCATTCCCAACACGGTGAGAATAAGACCTGTCTTAGCTTCGGACTGGATACCAGTTCATTTCTGTAAGAATGAGCCAAAAAATTAAATAAACTTGTGAGGTACATCAAGTGGAAAATGATCATCCCGGTCGCACACAGCAGCTGGTGATCCACCATTCTTTGAAAGAGCAGTCTGTGTGGTTTCTGCGGAGATGCCTGGGCATACTCAGCACACAAATGCTAAGTTCCCAGCATTCTCTGCAGTTCTCACACAAGAGACTTGAGCTTCCTATCTACCTCATAATAAATAAAGGTAATTATACCCATGGTGTTCACTGCATAGGATACAAACCAAAACGGGCACAGTCACAAATGTGGGCCATAACTTTTTAGCTGGTTGACAAAGCCAGCCACTAAAATTTGCTAAAGCCAGATCCCATCATTCGTATCAGTTCCATTAAACTCTTCTAAGAGCCTCCTAATGTTGAGGCATTCAGAGCCTTGGATGGCCTTAGGTCACAGCCAAGAGCAGCTTGTAAGGAAATTAAACCTTTATGGTGATGGCACTCTACCCATTAGTACTGTACTTATGAAAGCTTATTGACCTAGGATGGAAATACTACCTGTCATCAATCCTTTCATTTCCATGCAATTATTTACTTCCCAAACCAGGCTACCGACGAATTGCACCCAAATGCAAAGCTAGCCACACCAAAAGATTTTTATCCTAATGAGAAATGTAAGCAAAAACATACATCATGAAATCACACGTAAATCTACATTTAATAACAAATTCATTTCCTAATAAAATACCATCTGCAAGCTACCCCCAGTTTCCATTTGATATATATCAGTCTTTTACTACTCTCAGATGCAGTTCCCAGGAAATTCTCCTAAGCTCAACTGCAGAACATATCAGTCTTTTTTGGCGGGTTGGGGATGGGGAGTTGCCTGGAATGTTAGTAAATTCTGTAAAACTAAGTCTTTAAACAAATTACTTTGTTCCAAAATCATACTTCAATTGAAATGCTGACCTTTTACAATAAAGTTGCTTAGATTCCTAGAATCCTTATCATTGATAGAGAAATCCACCCCAAGGGACTATTTCGAGGATGGGCCGAAATTAAAATTTCCCCACTGTATACACGACCATAGACACACAAGCAACATACACACACACAGGCTCATTCCATTTCAGTAATAGTTTTTGTCCCTCAACTCACAAGTATATTCCTATCTGTTTATTTGTACATCGTAGAATGCTGTGTTTCCTGGTGTTCAAACCCCACCCACCCCACTTTGCCCCTCTGTTCCCAAAAGCACTTCACTAATACATGGAACAGCCTCTTTCCCTAGATCCAGGGACAGAGTGGGGAATACTCAGAGAGACCCTGTGACTGCTTTCTGGACAAACCCTTTTAGCAGTAACTCCAAGGAATAATGCTACCACTCATCAATGATGGCTACTTTGACTGGAGACCCAGATCCCAATGCCTGGACCTCTTGGCACCAAAGACTGGGGCTGAATTCTCATGCTGAGTGCTTTTGAAAAGCGCATCCAGATTTGATAGGGTGAATTTTCAGACTTGTTGGAGTTTCAGCCACATACAGTCTATTAGGTACAAAGCTCCATAATGTTCCACCCTGTCTATATTTATGCCCGTGTTTGAATTTACACCCTTGTAAGCTCCCAGGCAGGCTGTTGGACCTCTTACTGCCTTTCGTCCTATCCTCAGTTTTCCCACTATTCTTGAAGCCAGTATGTTCTCCTGACTTTAGGGCCCTAAGCCTCTGTCTCACCCCTTTTTCAAATCCTTCCTTGAGACCTAGGTTTTAAAATAAGTATCTTCTCCACTGATCTCTCATCATTACTTTATTGGACCTGACCCATTTTTCATACAAGGCTTTACCAAAATCTATTTGTACCATCACCAAAGGCTAAGTGCACATAGCAGCTCCTCGGATCATCATGTCCAGAGCTGAAGACAGCTCAGACTCTCTTTGGACATGCCCCTCTCATTGGTGTGCCAAAGCACTGAGGGGAAAAAAAAAAGCATGAAGTAATTTCTGAGTCTGGGTCAGCCATGTTGTGAATGTACAAGAGAGAAGATTACAATGGAGTGAATCTCACTGGGTCTGTGACCTGTCACTTGGCTAACGAGGTATGGACACAAGCTGATGGACCTCTTGATGCACCAGTGCCATTCCCAGACCAGCCCTGAGTGATGGCACTGCCGTAGATATCAGGGCAAGAAAAGGGACAAGAAGCCTCTCATTATACTCCTCTCTCAAGGCAGGCTTCTGTTTGGATTTTAAGCATTATGATCCCATATGAAGTCATCCCCTAGAAATTAGGATGAGGATTTCTAAACAACTGTGTAGGAGCAGAGCAGAGTAAGACATAGGCAGAAAGGGTACCATTCAAAAGATAAAACTGATGATGGATTTGCTAGTATTTGTTTCCCTTGGTTCATATTAGTTGATTAATGCCATGGCTTAGAAAATGTACTCAAGTAACCATTTCTGAAATTCATTCATTTAACAAACATTTATTAAGTATGTACTATGTGCCAGGCATTTGCTAGGCGCTCGGGATACAGAGAGGAAGGAGACGACCCTTGCTCTCCAGGAGCTCACAGTCTAATAGAGATAGACACATGACATGAGTGACTACAGTACATGAAGAAAAGTGCTAGTCAAGTTGTACGTAAAGTGTTAGAGGAGCCCAGAGGAAGCAGGCTGCAGTAAGCCTGTGGAGTCAAGGAAGCTTTCACAGAGAAAGGAATAATCAAGCAGACTTGAAGGAGGAACAGGATTTCACCAGAAGACAAGGGAGGGTAGGGAAAGACATTCTAGGCTGAGAGAACAGCAGGCACAAAAGCAAGGAAGTGTGATAACGCATGACATGACAGGGAACCACAGGTAGCTCCATGATGCTGAGACTTCGTCTGCATGTGAAGACATGGTAAAATGGGAAGTCAGAGAAGGAGCATGGAATCAGAGTGAAGAGCTTTGTGTGTTGGACTAAGAAATCTGGACCTTGTCCTGGAAGCAATGAGAAGGCACAAAAGAATCCAAAGCAGGGAGTGACATGGCTGGATGTGCCCATGAAGTCAGCCCAGATGGAGGATGGTTTGGAAGAGAGGTGAGACCAGAGGGAAGGAGAGCAGCAAGGAGGGGCCGTCACAGGGGCCCATGGGCACTCTGAAGGCAGGGAGGGTAAAGAGCTGACAGGCTGGAGAGATACTTAGGAGGAAGCTTGACAAGACTTGATGAATGATGATACAAGAAGCAAAACCGCCTCAGGGTTGAAACGACATGAAAAGCATGCATTCCAAAAATACAATCCACAGCCCCACTCCTCCTTCCCACTTCATGGTCCCATTGTCCTCTGCAATCACCGTGTGTGCTGAATACGAGTAATGAGTAACGGCGCAAGAGCCAGAGGTGCACATGGTCAGACTTCTCTAATTCAGACCCCACTAACTTGGAATCTGCAACAATTCACATCGACTCTCTGGGCCTCCTATTGAGCAAAAATTTCAACCTACTTTCTTCCTCTGCATCTTTTCAAGCCTTTAGGCACCAGTAACAGGAATCCAATCTAAAAGCAGTAGCTTCTTCCAATCAAGCGCTGGAGGTGCTGTAGGCAGCCGCTTACATGGTGGCATCTTAGTGGCACCCAGTATATGTCCCAACCCAGCAGCCACAAGGCCTGGGATCCAATCATTAGTGATTCATTCCTTTGGGAGGCTTGGGGCCCTCCGACTTCTCTTTTATAAGGCAATGATTCCAGAGATGGGTAGGACATTTAGTCATTCTAAACCCAAGGGGATTGTGGTTGAGCACAATGCCTTTGGCTTTGACAGAAGGGATCAAGGTAGTGTAGGAGGGCTATGGAGGTACAGGTGGAAGACAGCGGTACAGAAGGGAAGACTGAGGGACATGGAAGATAACATTAGGATCTTGCCAAGGAATGGCCCCACAAGCACTCAAGAAATCAAGATTCTTAAAGAATGCCTTCTACTTCTGATACCAGCAAACCACACTTTCACATTCTTATACCTTAAGGAGCTTCTGTGTTTTATGCTTATGAGATGCTATTTGCTAGTGAAGGCCTATGGTGACTCCCAATCTTTTTGTGGACCTCACACTGCTTATGACCAATTACAATATCCAGTGTTATTAATTTGTACATATGACTACAAGTGCACTCTCTGAAACTCTTTTGTAAGTGCAACTTTTCACTCACTCAGACTGACCTTGTCTTTGGCCATTCCACATTATGGAGATTTAACTGTATTTGCAGAATGGTAATCACTCAAGTCACAAGCGACAGAAGATCGGGACACAGACTGACCTTGAAGAGTCTCATTTCTGGCTCAAGAAGGTAAATAAGAGCTGCTTGTCAATACTTGACCATAGAGGTTAGAGCAGTGAACTAAAAAAAAAAGAAACAAACAAACAAAAACAAAACTTTAAAAAATTACTTACTTCACTTGTTTGGAGAATCGTGAACTTTGGCAGTTTAGGCTTTGAACTGGCTGCACTGGGTTTTCCATCCAAGAGTGATCCAAATGACAGATTCCCAAAGCTGTTCTCAAATTCAATGGAAGGTTTCAGTGTTGGAGGGACGTCTGGTGCCTGATCCTGGCCATCCATGGGTCTGACATATGCAGTTGGCTTTTGCTGCCCCATGTTTGTTTTGCAGTAAAGACCTGGTGGAAAGTTCTGAACTGAAAGGCCACTGCTGGGAGCTAACAAAGAGGAGGCAACTAGGGGAGACCCAGGAGCTTGCACTGTAAATTCAGATTCTTCTGATGAGATGGACTGAAAGATTTCTTTGAACGTATCCCCTGCACTGGACTTGAGACTACTGTCTTCCTTTGCAGACACGTTTGACTCTTCAGTGGCTCCAACCTGGGGCTGTTCAGCTGGGTAGACAAAGAAGTCTTCCAGTCGGGCTGGGGGTTGGTCCTGTGTAGACGGCGGCAGCTTGTTTGGCTGACCACTGGCCTGGTTGGCTGGGACAATGTTAGCATTATGACTATCACGTGACCAGTCAGCTTTTGATTTCCTGTTGCTGTGTATGAGAGTGGAATTCAGTATCACGACGGAAGGTGGAGGCATTGGTGCTGAGGGATGAGTGCTATCCTGGTGAGGTGGGAGCATTCGGTTCTTTTGTTCTGGGAAAAAGCTTGGTTCATTTTTGTTGATGGGAGTCTGGGGCACAGAATTCTTTGGGATCCCCACTAGATGATTCTGATTAGAATGGTTAGTTAGCAAATCCTTCATTTCATCATAGTTTCCCAGCGTGTTCTGGACTCGGTTGGCAAGTGCATCCCCTTTGTTTGTCTAAAATAACAAAAAGATGGGGGTGGGAGGAGAGAGAATGAATAGGTTTGTGTTTCCTAATGTTAATGTTTCAAACAGATGTCCTAAGTAGACTAGCATATAGGGTGCTTTAAAATTCTCATGCTGCCATATAATTTCATACTTTTCATGTGCTATGTAAGAAAAAAAATCAGTAACACTATTGAAAGAGCCTCTTGGAATGAGCTGTGTGTTTAACGTCTGTAGGCTCCCTGGCCTGTCCTTAAATATGTTCATTGGGAGAAAGTTTTAAATTACGTCACTTATAAATTTTATTAACAATGTAACTATTTTAGGTCAGATGAGCTGAACGGTTACATTCCATATTGTGATGAACAACTTCAGCTTAGTGATCACTGGAATTGTAATGGAATGTTCAACTTATATTTGTTCTTGACATGTCAGCTCTTTGTGCCACATTATACCATGAAAAAGGCTTAGCCCATTGGATCAGGAAGTCAGTGAGATTGTGCAATCATGAATATATTGGTTTAGAAAAGCTCAACATCTAATTGAGCTAACATGACTAAAGCAAATCTAATTCCTTTTAATCAAAGGACTGTATAAATTACTAGTGTCTGCCCACATATTCTGGGGCATCTGTGTTTACGTATTGATGACTCATACTTGTTTACTTTGAAATGGTGCAATTGTTCATCAGCACTGACTCAAGCTCTCCTGTGTCTTTTCAATGATTTAGAAAAATTTATTCAAGAATTTTAAGCTATTGCTTACGTAAATGAAAACAAAGCCAGATTTCCAAAGCGATGTTGGCAACTAAATCATTCTATGGACGATCAACAGACCCGGCTATATCATCCCCCATAGGAAATACTAAGCTTGTTAAAAATGGCTGTGCTTGTTCTTCCAATAATTAAGTTGCTGCATGGGTTACTGTAATACAGATAGCACAGCTTTCATAACTAGAAAATGGTGGATACCTATATACTTAAAAGAAATGACTTTGACGAAAGCTCAGCTGTTCATCTTTAAAAGTGACCTTTTATTATTATTCCCTGTACCTGCCAAAGGTGTTCTCAAAACAAGCTGTTGGATTCAGAAGGGCAAAGGACTTCTTTGTGCTTAGGCTGTACTACTCTAGCTCAAGATGTTGCAGTGAGACAAGGTTACTGGCTTCCATGGAGCCATGTGGTAGCAGGACCAATGGATGGGTAAGACACCCACCCTATGTAGCCTCTAGGTCTCTGGGACCATAGGCATGCCCTCCATTCGCAGGAAGGGGTGACAACTTCCCCAATGACACAGCATCCACTGAAGATAGATGTTTAACTTCTCAGAACTCTTACACGCCCTTAACCCAGCCCAAGCTCCTGACATCCATGGGGAGTGTGCCTATCCAAGGCTGGGATCTCAGTCTAGACCTAGGCTGTCTGGCTGTGTGCTGTTCTCTGTATGTGAAGACGGAAGTGTGCAGATGAATGAAGGGTGAAGTGCTGGAAATGGATGAAATCACCCAGAGAAAGAAAATACAGAATGAGAAGATCAAGCTCAGGAGGAACCCTGGGGAACATCAACCTTTAAGTGACCGAGAGAAGAAGAGGAGCCGGTAAAGGATACCAAGAAGGGCAACCAGAGAAGGAATCAAACTGGTGACCTTGGCCTTGTTGTTAACATGATCTCCATGTATTGTAAGCAGTATCCAACTCGTAACATGTGTGAAGTCATATAAGACATTTCCAAAGAAATAAGGGCTGTGAGGGAAATAGGATTCCAGAAATTATGAAAAAGTACACTCAATATTTGCTACGAGGGTCCTGTTGGGGTGGGGAATTTGGAAATCCAATAAATGTCTGTTTCAGTTTTCTTATCCACAAGAACATCTGATATTGCATCACATGCAACCTTAGTGCTAAAGCAGTGATTAAACAATTAACATTCCATATAAACCTCAGCTGAATAATTGCTCCATTTTCAGAAGTACATTTGGAAAGGCCTATTTAATAGATAGAGACAGGTAGAGATCACTTCTATTCCCTGAAAATCCCTAGGTTTGTCCATATTAATGGCACAAATTACTCTTCAGCCAAGGCCAGAATGCACTCTGGCTAGAGTGGTCTCCTTTGATAGATGGTGAATGACCAACAATTTGGGTAGCAGCCAAACCCAGTCTCCCTCCTATTCAGTCCCTTAATTCAAAACAAAGAAATTTTATAATGCTGAGGGCCCAGTAAGAATTTAATGCAAGCTTCAGGGGAACCTGGGTGGCTCAGTCATTAAGCATCTGTCTTCAATTTGGGTCATAATCACAGGGTCCTAGGACAGAGCCCCACATTGGGCTCTCTGCTCAGGGAGGAGCCTCCTTCTCCCTCTCCCTCTGCCTGCTACTCTACCTAATTGTGATCCCTGTCTCTCTCTCTCTGTCAAATAAAATCTTTTATAAAAAAAGGATATAGTGCAAGCTTTAAATACTTACAGAGTTGCTCTGGACCCTCAAACAGTTTACCTGTTGGGTCACATGATGGCTTAACAAACACTAATACCTGGCTATCTTCAAGGATCTGACCCAGCAAAGGGGGAGACAACACCATGTTGTTTCTCATGTTAAATGCCTTTGTTTTACACTGCCTCATTTAATGAATTTGGATGTTGCTTCCTTCCTTCACACAAAAAGAATTCTATAAGAACTTTTCTCTTTTTGCCTTAGCTAGCAGAAAGCTCCAAGTTCAACGGACTGAACTTTCTTTGGGAGTTTACTGGACTTCTACTGAAAGCTCATTGAACTTCCATTGAAACTAAGCTCTACAGCATCAGAACCTTGCCTCGAGATGTCAAAGAGACCAGGACAATACCTCAGATTCTTGAAAAGTAATTCACACTCTCCAGGTCAACATAATCAAGACTCAAGAATCTTAAGACTCATTTGCTTGCAAGCAAGCTAGTCACATTCCTGTTCCTGTTCAACAGTACATAAACGAGATGTGCTCATCTTTTCTACAATGGAGAGAACCTTGGTTAAGTTTGAATATCTCTTCATTTACTTCTACTGTTATAATGTTCTGGCTTTCCAATGCAAGCTGAGGTTTTTTTCCCCCATCTCTAGGTTTTAAAATATGTTTAAAATTAGAACTTATAAACCGGCCAATATCTAAAATTATGTCTACTTAAACAAAATTAGAAGAAAACTAAAGTTCTCTGAATAGGTCTAGAAAATCAACCTCCCACCATATAGGGTATACTATAGCAATGATTTATTTTTCTGCATAAAACTATAAGCTCTTAAAGGTCAGAGACCACCTTTCATTCACCTCAGTTCAGGACTAAGCACCAGGTCAGGTGCATATCAGATACTCAAAAAATTGTTGCTGACACAAATTGAATCCAATTATAAGTCATATCCTACCTATATCAAAATAAAGGCTTTGCAATAGCTTGGAGTAAATAAACAAATAGAAAAGCAAAAGTCAGGCTGACTTGGTTACTATGATTGGACATTAAATTGAACTTTGAACTTCCTGGTAGCTAAGGCAAAAAAGAAAAGCTCACAGCTTACTGAATTATGTTTGTCTGATGAAAGGAAGCATATCTTAATTTATTAAATAAGACAAATGGTTGCCAGATACTAAAATGTAAAAAATAATTCTTCTCATTGGTTCAGTTATAAGAACCTTTGAACATGGGGTAACTGGGTGGCACAGTCAGTTAAGCATCTGTCTCTTGATTTTTACTCAGGTCATGATCTCATGGGTCATGAGCTCAAGGCCTGTGTGGGGCTCCTTGCTCAGTGTGAAGTCTCCTTGAGATTGTCTCCCTCTCACTCCGTCCCTCCTTCTGCTCCTCCCCCCTGCTCTCTCTCTCTCTCTTGCTCTCTCAAATAAATAAATCTTTTTTTAAAAAACCTTTTAATAATAAAACAAATTCTTTAGCACCAACTTCATGGAAGATGCAAAGATGTTCTTCATGTGGCTTATTCTTATGATGACTAAAAAAGAGCACTGCATTAAAGTCTAACTCAGTGAAGGCATATCTCTATGTGGAGTTGGGGGGCTAAACTAAGAGCTCCAGGTGTGGGGTTTTCCTGTACACAGACGACACAGGGCCAGAGCTGGGATACCTTGGGGAATGAAAGGGTGTCAACTCCCTTAGACTAGCTTCCTCACAGAGCAACGGTCTCAGAGGGACTTGTGAGCAGAACTGTGAAGCAGACAGTTCAAGGTTGAGTTCACTGGCGACACTTTCTGAGTTTCTGATTGAAGGAAGATCCATATGCTTTGCAAAACAGACGTGCTGTGGCTACAAGTAGGAATTACCATGGCCATGCTTAAGACACATACTGGTAAATTCAAAACAGTCACAAGGAGGGGTTAGGCACAGAGGACACACAGACACATAGCCTCAAAAAGTCCACCATTTAACAATCTCCAAATAATAATTAGCAGGACAGTCCAGGTCACCTGATTCACCTCTCTGCCTTTCCACCACCGGTGCTGAGTAACTGTCAACCAGTTTTTTAAATTACTCTAGATGTAGATAGGAGAGCCACTGGATAGAAAACCCAGTGGGGCCTGAAAACGCATTTCTATGCCCCTACACAATGGGGATGACTACAGACCACAGAGACTTGATTTGCACTGAATGTTCTTTTGCACTCTCTGGATTCTTAGTAATCCTATTAAGGAGCAAGGTATTCTTGGCAGTTTTGATTGGACATTATAAAAATGGCAAAAATGAAAGTTGGCCATTTCATTCTCAATTATAGGCTTCTTTCCATTGGCCAGTTCTTTACTTCCCATTCTAGATAATTGGTTGATTCTTAAAGGTAACCTCTGCAGCTCTTATTTTCTAAATAATCACAATTTCTCCATCATCAAGGAAATGCATTTTCCAAGTATTTTCAGGCATAAATTATATGTCTGGTTTGTGGCCCATGACTAACAGCACTCCTTCACATTGAAGCTTTTTGCCTCTCATTATTCTAAGAAATGCAAAGTTGCCTCAGTTTGCTTCTAATGCTATCTACAAATCAGTAGTAGAAGTTCATTGCAAGATTAATGTACTAGGAGGCAATTGTACCATCATATTTCTTTTAATAAAAAGTAGCAAAATTATTTAAGTTTTGAGGCTCATTTTTCCCCTTTATTTCATTGTGGCTAATGTATATGATTTAGTAATTCCTTTTTTCCTAATTGTAATATTTTTATAGTTAATCTCTCTAAGCTGTAAGTTGCTATTTCTTTCTTTAATTATAATAACATTAACATCTTGAACTTGTACAGCACTTTCCAGATTTCAAAGCAAGGTCCCCGGTTCATTTGATTTGATCCTTACAACAACCACATGAGTCAGGAGAGCAGCTCTGATCTCAGTCTGGCTTCTACCTCCCCAATAAAAATGACCTTGGATAAGCCACTTAATCTCTCTGTGCCTCACTTTCCTCATTCTCATAGAGTGGAAAGAGCTATACAATGTCAGTTGTAGTTGTTGCTTATTATTATTATCAGGGATTACTTCATATCAGGTATTATTATTCACTTCAGAGAGGAGGAAACTAAGTCAGAGGAATGAACTTTCTTCACCAAAGTCACACAGGAGGTAGGTAAGCTTATCAGGTCTTCTCACCTCCTGTGGGAAGATCAACAGCTTCCTGTTACAGGTAATGAACCACATAACTGGGTTCTAGATTCACTGCTGGCACAGATATGAAGCTGTAGAGAAGCCACTTCTCCTCTCTGAGCCTCAGATTCCTTGTGGGCCACACAAGGAAAATGAGTACTCCAGTTGTTGGAAGGACTAAACAGGTCCATGTAAAGCCCTAGCATGTGTCTGGCAGATAGCAGCCACTTGCTACACACCAGTTCCTCAGCCTTCCCAGTCTTTCCACACTGGCCTAGATACGTCAAATAGCTTCAGGTTCTTCAAGTGCTTTTGAAGGCATCCTTCTCAACACCACAGCACAAAGTCAGATTTGAAAGTTATACGCAATAGAAGCAGCCCCATGGAGAAGTTCCCCATCACCAACCGAATGTAGGGGTGGTCAACCTTCTTTCCATTCTGGGAATGGTAGGGGTGAAGCAAAAAAAGGAAAGAAATCAGCCAGGATGATGAGAGATCACCATTTATTCTAACTGCTGAGAAAGGCAGTGGGTCTTAAGGACTGATGCTTATTGGCTACTTCACAAACTACCAACACTACTGGATAAATTAATAGGCCATGTTTTAGGTTTTAGGGTGGCAAGAAATTTCCTGAAAGTCCTGATCCACCACCAGGAGTTTTGATTTTTAATTCGATAAGTATTCCTACCACAACCCTAAGGAAGGGTCGAGGTATTTCCTTGTCTCTACCAATGGACCATGGACCAGCTCTAACACTTCCATTGCTACTGGCATGTCCAGATACTCCAAGGGTGTCCACACCAGTCCAGGTCTAGGGAGTTGATGGAGGGGAACATCAGTTCTAGTATCATCATCTGGGGGAGGGGGAAGGGAAAGCAAACCCTCTAGTGATTTCTCAGGGAATCCTGAACATGGACACAGTACAAGATGGTAGCTGATCATCAAAGCAATGGTGAAAGAAACAGAATCACTAGGTCACCAACTGTTAGCTCAATTCCTCTCCTATACAGTCTCAACTGAATCACAACCTCTCTAACCTGTCGAGAAACAGAAAGGCAACAGGCTACTAATCACACACTAGGCCTGGCCCTGAGCTAGATGAATGTTCCCTCCTAGCATCTCTACCTGATGTACTCTTGTCATAGCAAGACAGATGATTCTGAAAACGTCTGGCAATGTTGATGACAGGTTTTTTTTTTTAAACTGCCTACTCAAAAACACACTGCTGACATCTAAAAATAAATATGTATCTATATTACAGGCCTTTTTAATAAGAGATGGCATTTACCTTAAAGGTACAAGACCATTAATTCAACATGATTTAAGTTATAAAGAGGGGATAAACCAAGGGCTCTACACCTCATCATATTAATAACATTGAGCATGGAATAGACTTCAAACTTTAAGAATGACTGAGTAAACCTCCTTTTTCTAACTCATCCAAAGTTAAGACCTAAAACTCATCTGGTTATTCCTTTCTTAAGAAGGGATAAGGCACCTATCATCCTTTGACCTCTCTTCCATTTTCTGGAAAAAATGAAGGACACAATGTCTTGCCATGGCTAGTCACTCTTCACACACTCTTGACTTTGTGCCTGCTCATCTCCTCTGGGACCCTGCTCCACTCATCGTCACCTCTTCCTCCTGTCCCTTTACCCTCTCCCTTTTGACTGACATCTGGTCTTTCCCATCAATCTCTGAACACGTTCACATTTTTCCCATTATGAAAAAAGGAGCCTCTTTCCATAAAACTTCTCCCCTCAGGTTCTAACCTACCTTCCTTTCTTCCTCCCTCCACACAAAAAGTTACCGCCTTTCTTTGTTTTACCGCTTTCCATTTACTCCCTGAGCCCAGGCAGTTCACTTCCCACAATGAGCTCCACCATCAACAAAATAAAACAACTCTTCCTAAGGTCATTGATCCCCACACCCCCCAACTACCAAATCCAACAGCCACTTTCCAGTGCTGACCTTTCCTGCTGCCCTCCCAGACACAAATAACGAACAAATCCCTCCTCCATAAAACCCTATATCCCTTTGATTTCTATTAAATGATTCTCCTCGTTCTCTTCCTACCTCTGTGATCATTCACTCTTTTTTAGTTTCCTTTCCTGGTGTCTACGTTGCCACCTCTTTTACTCCTTAAATGCTGCTCCTCCCCAAGACTCTCTCTTTGTCCTCCTTATTCAGTCATCTGACAGCTGCCATGACCACCTCCCTGCTCACATCTAACTCTCTCTCTTGAGCACTCTCATTATCTCCAGATCCCTACACCCAATGCCTACCAGTAGGTCTCTCTTCATATCCCACCAGCATCTCAAACCAACTGTGCTCAAAACAGAATTAATTTTCTTTTTCTTTGCAAGCACCAACACTGTTTCTTCCTGAACAACCCGTTAATGAGACTGCCATCTTCTCAAGTCAGAAATACGGGAATCATTTACTCCTCACATTTTCCACAGCCAGTCAGACATCTAATCTCATCATGTCACTGTCCCTCTGCTGTCTTAAGTCCTCTCTGCCATGAATTCCCCTTAGCTAACTAAAATATCTTCTTTATCTGCCTTCTCGTTTGCCTCACCTCCAACCAACTCACCACACTGCCAACATCATCTTCAAAATTCTTTGTCTGTCCTGGCCATGCCCTTACTTGAAACTGTGCGGTGACTTCTCTTCATGTATAGAATTGTGTCCAGTCTCCTTGGCATGAGGTACCAAGTCTCCACTAACCTCTTGCCTGCCTACCTCTGTGGCAGCTGCTCTGCACTCTTGCCTTCCATCGCTCATGATGTCTTACTCCTCTTTGTGCATTTGTCTAAGATGTGACTAGCATGTAGTGGGCCTTCAACAAATGTTCACTAAACTCATCATATCCTTAAATACACATGTTCAGGTTTGCCTGGGTGGCTCGGTGGGTTAGGCCTCTGCCTTCAGCTCAGGTCATGATCTCAGGGTCCTGGGATCCAGCCCTGCATTGGGCTCTGCTCAGTGGGGAGCCTGTTTCCCCCTTACTCTCTCTCTCTCTCTGATTGCCTCTCTGCCTACTTGTGATCTCTCTCTGTCAAATAAATAAATAAAATCTTAAAAAAAATACACATGTTCAAAGGCAGTATGTAAATTAAATCAATTGAGATAGGAGAAATGCTTTTTTAAGGATTATACTATTATTGACAAATTGGAAAGTAGCAGTTTAGGTAACCTAACTCTCTCTGTCAGACTTCCTGAACTCAGAAGGCACCTGAGTCTCAGTCAAGAGCTGCTCACTTATCGTGAACAAGGCAGAAAGACTCTGCTCTCAGTGGTCACTGAGCCCAACAGCTTACTCTATACCCCAAAGTGGTATTTGTGCCAATGCTGTCCTTTCCTTTCCCAGAAGTCATTGTCCCCTAATTGGTGCCCTTCTAAAAGCATGACTCTCAGAAATTTCCCTCTATTGTTGTTTTAACTCTTACATCATTTTGTTTCATTATGGAAAATTACACTGCTACTAAATTTCAATAAACACCAACCAGCTGCCAGCTATTCCACCAGATTCTTCCCCCCAAGCCCCACCCTGAATAGAAAGTTCAGAGGCAGTCATCGTGAAATCAGTAGTTGTAGACAGAGCAGCAGGAGTGTTAGTGGCTATGCTAGGCAAGCCACCTGGCTATGCTACCCCCTTGCCCAGGGCTCCCCATCCTTGGTTGAGGCAATCTTCTCATCCAGGATGATTAACCACCAGGAAAAAGTGATCAGCTTTTCCCTTTATCCCAGAACAAGGATTTTCAAAGAGCACTCAAACCACTCCACAGCTACTAACAACCTAACACGGGAAAGGAAAACAGTGGCCTCGCTTGCAACAGATGGCACTGATCGGGAGGAGAAAGACACAACCATTGACTTTCTGATGAAGTCTTCAGGGGCTGCCTTGCCAATAGCCAAGGTGGGGAAAAGCATCAAGGGAGCACTGCTTGCTGTAGGAAGTGCTGGGCGAGACAGAACTTCTTGGAAACAGGAAGTCTCACTAGTCCTGTTGAAATCTGAGGACAGAATTTGCCTCTGAAGACTTCTTCAGAAAGCTGCAGTTGCCCCAAATACAATGTGTTTATAGATTTTATGTGTCAAATATATTCTCCTGGAAATAATTTGGGTGCTTTAAAAATAGATTAAATGTTGATTAGTATGTTCAAAAACTTAACAAGCAACCATTTTCCAGAAAGATAAATTACATACATATTCAGTTACCTTATAGGGCTCCCCAAAAAGATCAAAGCCTGAAGAAAAGAGATCATCTTCTTGCTGGACTTCTTGATTCCTCCGCTCCCACTCCCTTTTTTTAAGTGCACTACGGTCTTGCTCATAGTGACTGATAGGAAAAGAAAAAGACAAAAGAAGAAAAAGATTAATTAGTCATGTCATTCAGATCTCTCTTGTTATCAATAAGAAGAAAAACAATACAATCCAAGGCTACCCAAATGGATATACTGCATGGGGAGTGGAGAAACATTTTCTTGACTCCCAAGGGGTTTAAGATCCTGACCAGTTCTTTGGAATATAGAAGAACATGGAAACATGCTTATTAGCAACCATACTCATGCCCATGTGAGTGTTCCAGAATCCTCTTCTCTTGTCCCTACTTGAGTACCACAGGCAATTAAAGGCTCCCTGAAAGTCAGTCCACTTGCAAAAAAGTACTGAATTCAAGTTGCTTTGTGTTACCAACTGCTTAGGGCTCAGAATTCACAGACGTCATAAGTCCTAAGGGAAAGGAATTAACCAAGATGTCATAGGTCACCTGTAATTCTGTCCTGAGCCCACAGCCAGAGTTAGCCTGTTGTAACGAAATCATAGGGGAGTTTACAGGCATTTTTGGAAGTCTACAAAACACCGAACCACTCATTTGCTCACAATCTTTTTTGTGGTGGGCGTGTCTTTTCTCTTCTCATAGTTGTATCATAGGATACTGACAGCCTCTTTAGGAAACTCTTCACAAAGAAAGTGTCTGGCATGAATGGCAAACAGCTAACAATGAAAGGTACCAAAAGCCTTGAATGACCTCAAGGCACACGTGTTTTATAAATGCTGTATAGCTCTGTGACTCGTCATATTTCAGGCTTTCCCATTGGAGAATCAGTATAGAAGCTTCCAGACAATATCTAAGATATACTCCAGGCCCTGGGATTTTCTAGTATGAAATAATTCCCAATGAAGAATTAGGCAAGAATGTGCCTATTACCCCATAACCTGTAAGTCTCAAAAGTGGTGGATTTTATTTTGTCCATTGGGTTTTCTCTTCCCCTGCTTTTGATCAAAATCTTACCTGAAGTGAACACATGTAAATCATACAAATCATACAAACTAAATCATACATACTAAATCATACAAACATATATAAAATGCCTAACAGGTGGTGTACAAATGTTGCTTTCCTTCCCCATGTTAATACTGCCATGTTAATTAGATAATTGGCATGCAAATGAACATAATAGCTAAAGGAATTACAAGAAATAAACTGATAGAAGAGTAGAGTTGACAGGTTTTAAATACATCCCAGACCTTAATGCCTACCCTTGGTCGTCTAGTTTGCTCATGAGTATCATAACTTTTAATTTATAAAATAAGAGCCCAGAGCATGAAATAGCCATGCTTAACTAGATATTTATATACATGGAGTGTGAGTTGCCACTACACTTAATCACCCCCTTTCTCCACAGGAATCTTTGAACTGACAGATTCAAAGTGACTTTGATAGCCTTATCTTCTGAATCAACAACACTTCATTCCTCCAATTTAAAAAAAAGTGGCCACATTTAAAGAATTCTCAGACGTATGTTATACTTTCACAATACAAACAATGCCAGACACAGAGGAGCTTGCTACGACAGGCACAAGGGGGCTCAGTGAATGTCATCACCATCTGGGGAAAACAAAGGAGGTTGACAGCACTACACCAAGCCCAGACCCCACATATGGGCCCCTTCTGGTCCAGAAAGATGACAAGTCCAGATCCTGGAAGGCAGTCTGTCCTTCGGAGTCTCAGACACCATCCAAGGGGTGACACTTGTTGGCATCATCTCTCCTCATTGGTCAAGAGTTGAGATCGGAACCCCACCCGGTTGCCATGGGTGGCAATGTCTTTGTGTTGGAGGCTGAGGTGTGATCAAGCAGACAGAGTCACATCTTCAGAACGTGCACATAGAGCATGAGATCAGACTTGAGCACGATGCATGGGCCGTGCATCTCCCAAACCCATCATCAGTGTGTCCAAATGTAAGAAAGAGAGGGGGAGCATCAGGGGTGGAGTTTCACCAAGTTAAAGCAATATTTAGTCGGGGGCAAGCCAGGAAATTCTGGTGCAAAGGAAGACGCTTCATTTCTTTGCCTGCCACAGCAGTTGACTCTTTTTTTTTTTTAATTTTATTTTTTATAAACATATATTTTTATCCCCAGGGGTACAGGTCTGTGAATCGCCAGGTTTACACACTTCACAGCACTCACCATACCACATACCCTCCCCAATGTCCATAACCCCACCCCCC